CATAACGTCTGGGAATGTACCACGTGCACGGTACATCTTTGGAAATGATCATGCATACAATGGACTCCTGAATAGGTGTGTTCCTCTAAGTCTTTCTACAAATATGATCAAGTTGCGAAAACAAGGTTAAACGACTTCTACCAATCTCTTCTTCATGTACTTTTATACAAAATGAAGGTCTCCCCAACAATTTAATACCAATACCCAGAGATTTTATCAGGAAATAACATACGCACTGAGTTAATCATGAGAGTGATGAACATTGACGACTATATATTTTACCATTAAAGAATAATCATATGAGCAAACCGGAGGGTTATCTATAGGATCATGTTTGTCATAATTTTTTTCTTACAACTAGATGGCTTACTTAGAAGTCCGATTTTTCAGGAAATATTTTTAGTTCCGAAACTGTTTGTCAGATATATGGTTGATTAGTTTGCCATCTTTCAGCATGGAAAATAGTGTCTGGATGATTTTATCAGGTTTCTGAATAGATTAGATTTGACGAATTAGAAAGGGACAGTATGTTACACTTTTTAGATGCCCCAGTTACTACAAAGGGAACAAACTGAGTACAGATGTGCATAGGAAACCCACAAATGCGAAGTTATTTCTTAATTTCTTCATAACCTACACTTATGGCGATAAGAGAGGGGCTATGAAATCCATTATAGTAAGGTGCCTGCGTCCAGCGGACGTTAATCACAAGATAATCATAGTTGAAAACAATTATTTGGTGGGTCAAAATGTTAATATTTTTTCCTTTTATAAGCAGATTTTCGATATTACTAATAAAGCATAAGTATATATATATATATTTATTTATTTACGTTTCTACTAAAGTAGAAACCACAAAATCTTTGTCCTCACATCAGAATAAGAATCAACAAAACAGCTAATATCCTGAATAGAAGGAATTAGAGTTGGAAAATAAGCTGTTGGAGAAGAGTGGAAAGCGAGATAGAGAGGGTGAGAGAAGGATCAAGCCAAGCAAAAGGGGGGCCTTGATTAGTCTCAAATCTGATTTCCACTCCCACATCCAATGCGTCTTACGAGCATTGCATTCATACAGCACATATGAAATGGGACGCAATCACATGCGGCAACATAGCAAGATACAAAAAATATACGTGTTTTAGAGGAGGATACAGCTGTTCAGTTACAATTGCATACGTTTTATGCTTCATCTGCAGCCACTTTACATGTTTATGAGGTGCATTTACCTTATTTCGTGAAAGGTTATAAAGGAACTAGTCATTCAATTTTCCCGCAATGTTATGAATTGACATGACTTTCCCATTGAATTTCGCCTAGCCTTTTTTGGCAAAATGTGAGCTCAACAATTCTAAACCGAAAGATGGGTCGAAACCCAACTTTCCTCTGCAAAAGAAAAATGCTGGCAGAGTAAAAAATTACTCTTACGTCATGAAATTAAATGACAATAGGTGATAATATGTACGACATACTTTCATCTGCTTTGTCTTCTCCTTCAGTGAAGCCTGGTAGATATTCAACTGCTCAGCAACTTCGGGTCCGGGCTGCCTAGCCAATATCTGTTTCAGCTCCAAGTACAATTTTTCTTTTTCTTGAATCAGCAGCTCCTTTTCCACAATCTCCTCGGTTTTCATAATAAGTCTCTTCTGCAGTGTTTGGATCTTCTGGATCATTTCAAATGTGGATGGATCGCTGCCCTACAAGATAAATAAGGTATAGTGTACAGACGCGATGACGTAATTCGAATAGACAATTCGTCTGCAAACAACAGTTTAAACAAGAAACCTGCAACTCTTTACTAACCTCTGGAAGATAGTCATGTTCTCTCCACTCCTCGAAATAGTAAATCTTGTTGAATACGTTATAGAAAATGGTATAACAGTTACTGAATGAAATGCAGTAAAATCAAAATTAGATATAGGTCTTAATGATAAGTTCTGGAATTTTAAATTTGTCCCGATTGGCCATTTATCATTACCACTAATAAAAGAATGAGCAAGGGACTTGTATTTAATATTGGTTTGTAGACTTACATAATCTAAAGGCATATTGAAAATGAGGTCACCTTATTAACAATTGTACCAAGCCAAATCTATCAAACAAGAAGTGGCAACAAAAGGTCGGTCTTTTGGTCTACTCCTCAAATATTATGGCAAGTAGTGTGTCATGCTATGCGAAAAAGCCTTGGGCTCCGTTATATATATATATATATATATATATATAT